TATACAGTATAATTAAATATCCACGATTATCAGTTTATTGGTAAATAATTCAAAAATCTCAATACTGCAGTAGAATCTCAGGACAAATCCTGAGCAGTAAGAATTAAATGACTACCTTAGGAATACAAAATTATAGACATTTCATACTCCTACACTACCAGTGACATAATGCATCCATTAAAACCCACACAAATTTGTATCTGACCTATTTAATATAAACTAACATAATTTATATACTTCATTTTGCATGTATATATCTCTATCAAATTGTCTTCATTGCATACAGTATTACGTTCCAACACTACCGCTCTATGTAAACCTAAGCATGTAACAGCTCACAAAAAGATAAATCTCATTAGCTTCAAAGGAGACATTAGAGACGTGACAAAAGAAAAGGACAAAGTGCTTACCCTAAGCCTCTTAAAATGCAAACGCTAGGTATAACATGCAGAGTGAAGACTGGGCCTGAAGAAGAACAGGTTTTAAAACAATGTACAAATTTTAGAAATATGATTGTGAGCTGCACAGTCTACCAAGTTAGGGTGATTACTAGTGGTCAAAGAAAGGTCCAAAAGATAGGTAAAAATTAAAAAGAAAATTGATTCATAAAGCAAATGTAAGTTCAAATGTTTAAAAAAAACCCCCAAACTATAATTAAAAAAAAAACCAACCAAACAAAACAAAACAAAAATACCATCATGAGGCACACTAATACATGGTAATTGCGACTTACAATTTGGCATACACTTACTTGAAAATTTAAGCTGCACATGTGCATGACAACATGGATGGGTTGCATAAAACTGCACAATATAACAGAACGTTTTCTAATAGCAACAGATGCAAAAATAGTCTTTGGTAACTAGTTAAGACATACGCATGCAAATATTATTGTGGTTTTCACCCTGATTAAAACCTGTTGAAACTTGGCATTAAATTACTCACAAGGTATAACCAGTAGAGCTTTCTATGACTTATAAAGATTTATATGATAAACTTCAAGCATTTGCTTCATCCCTCAAATTAGTATACAAAAAGATTTTGAAACTGGAATGGTACACAATTTAAAAAAATCTGGCATACCTTTACTATTCGCTGTGCTCTGAAATTTTCTGTTCAAGTTTTGGAATTAATGCTTTTTTTTTTTTTTTTTTTTTTTTTTTTTTTTTTTATGTTATCATTAAAATAAGCCTTTGAGTTTCTTGGACATATATGAAGTTACCCAGAGATAAAATGTTGATAGTTTTATATTAATTGTTGCAAATCAGTTCATACTTTGTATTCATCTATACCTGAAAAAGACCTTTAGCACTGTCTGCACTACTACTGTGACAGATAACACCACAGCACAGTCTTGATTTACTTCATCTTGAAGCCAATTATAATTTTTGTTCCCAATTCCAGACAAAGGCTGTTATCAAACATCAAGCTGAGTACTGTAACCATCAGAGGGAGAAGGCTACATTTAGGCATACACATATTATTTCCACTCAGTCTGTCTCGTACATTGCTATTTCTGGTGAAAAGATGCCACTCCGGTAGTAATTCTGCTTTCTTTATAGATTGCTGTCTACAGATGCCGTCACCAACATGGTAATAAACTCAAGATTTCCATGACAGAGGGAATTTCTCCATGTACACACAGGCTAGGAGGGAGGGAGACACTATAAGGCTGGACAAAGAGCCCAGGCACATGCAAGCAAGCCCTCTGAGCATTAAAGAAACTCCTGACATGCCAAAGGACACTGAGTAATTAATCATTTGAAAAGTCAGTCACGTACATGTCCATTAACGCCAAAAGCCCATGTTTACCACAACTCTGCTATGAAACAAGTGAAATGTGTGTGGCAGCCACAGAACCATGAGCAGTTGCTCCCATCTCCTGCTGGCTTTGTGCTGGCTACATCTGGTGGCTACAAGGCCACGGGGCTGGACCAGTGATCCCTCCTGCAGGCTCATTCTTCCACACATGAGAACAGACGGATGGAGGCACTCAGTATCTTACGGAATGCACTCAGAACTTCAATAAACTCTGACTGATACATTCATTTTTGTGAGTCGTGCAATTACACAGAATTGTGTCAGAGACACAGCAATCACAGCTGCAAGGAGATAAACGGAGGCCTTGTACTAGGTTTGATGTGCATTAGGTGCTTGGTTTACATAACAGCTTCCAAATTACACATTAACCTCAGAAGCCTAGAAAAAGACAACCAGGAACAAAATGGTCCCCTTGTGGAAAAATTATGTAATACTTATTGAATTTAATACTCCAAGGGTGTATCTGCCTGAAGAAGAGACAATTTTTCTCTGAAACATAGGCGGGATGGAGAACCATAAAACTAAAGACTAAGTCCTACAAGGATGCACCAAATTTAGAGACAGAGATTCCACACCTTGTTCATACCAAAAAAAGGGAGAGGATGGTATAGGGATGCTGCCCACTCCTCCAAACATCACAACAAAATACTGCTTGGTATAGGCAAATATACTATTTTTATAAAAAACATGAGAATGAGGTAAAGAGATATAACCAAATGCATCCAACTCTCCCAGGAAATGCACACAAGCATCAAGAACCATGAGGAAAAAAAAACCAAAACAAGTCCACAGGAGCCAATTTTCTCACATTTTACATGGTTAACCCAATATTCTCCTAGGTGTGCCTATACTTAAAGTTTCCTGGGATATCTGTTCTCATATGTGCCACAAACACCCTAATAATAGCTGCATTTACAAACACACTCTACGTCTTCTAACTTGGATACCATAAAATATTCAGCTTTTTACCTTTTCCTTGTTATTTTGCTAGAAAATTCAGTTCTTTCCCCTGATGGTATCGACATCAACACAGTGACACTGGAATACCCCTGTTTCTTTGGATGTTTTAAGGCTAAAACATATTTGGATGTTTTAAGACACACTAGCATTACATTGTTACAAAGTAACATGCAAAAAAATAAATGAAGACCACTCCATCATACATACACATTTATTCTGGTACTGAGATACTGCTATGAGACACTTACTAGCATTGTCGTAATTTATATATATATATATATATAAAAAATATATATATACTATATAGTGCAACTCTTCACACATTTCACACTGCCACCCAAAAAGAGTTGTATCATTATACATTAGCAAGTATTTCAGGAGAAGAAAAACAGAAACATCTCATATTTCTCACCAAGATTGTCCTACTAGCTAAAAAATTGGGTCTGGAGCAGGCCACACCACACAAACATGAATGAAAGACTATGAATTTTATTTAAAAACCACACAGTTCCATTCTCAAAGAAATAAAAACATCATAAAAGCACCAGAAAATGGAACTAACTCAAGACTATTCAGACAACAGGCCTGAAATGGATGCAGTGTTGTTTACTCCTATTGAAAAAATAGGGAAACATATGCTACAATCTCTAAATCTTCCCACTGGAAGAATTAGGACAGAATTAGAAGATATTTCTGTAACAAAACACTTATTTCACACAACAGCTTAAAAAGTTACATGCTGCAAAATATGACAAGTAAGTTCCTATTGCACAAAACATTGTTTGGGTGTGCAACTCACTCAGAAACGGAGCTTACAACAAAACAAGGGAAATTACTCACAAGAATAATCTCATTCGTTTTAATGGAATCCTCATGTGAATAAAGTTACTCATGCACACACACGGGTAAGTAAGAGGCTATCAGACCCTCCTAATCCCCTGTGCATGCTACCACAGCAGCAGATGTGACCTGCTACATCCCTCTCTGGCTGGTAGAAAGGGAGTGGGTGGGTGGTTGGCTCTCTCCCCCCCTTAATGCACCTGCTAGTGCAGCTGAGCTGGCATGAAAGGGGGGAAAAGGTACTTCAGGAAAAGAATAAGTGTAGCTTATTGCCTTCTGGGAACCAGGAAGACAAGCAGGGATTTGAAACATGATTCCAAGTCATAACTGAGTGCTGCCATGCTCCTTCACTCCTTTAGTTGTACTGCTCTCGGGCTCAACTGCAAGGTGCTAGCACAGCTTACTGCGTAGCACCTCACTCCAAATAGTCCCAGAGAAACTTGGACTTTGAAAGTATTTCCTTCTGTTTCCACTGGAAGCACGTTCTATTTAATCCAGTTTTTCTTAGAATATCCGTGTAACTATTGAACATTCTGGATTTTCCTTTATTAAACATGGTCTCCAGTGCAACTCACTTATGGTATAGATGTAGGTTGTTCACTGCAAGCTGTTGATTGAATACGCTTAATGACACCGATAGTTCCTCAGCAAATATCGTAGTGAGTGTTACACTTACAAAGGCATACAGCCAGCTGGCATAGAGAATGCAATTAAACAACCCCACACTTAAAAATGTAATTCTAAAAGGAATATAACTTTTTGGGAATTTATCTGCCCTGCTTTCTGTACGACTATTCCCATCCTGCATCCATGCAGCTTACTATTAAAGCAATGCTAATCTGGCATCACTTTTACCTGTCTCCCTATAAAAACATAGTTTCCCACACATCACCTGGATGAACTTATTTTACTCAGATTGTTTAACTCTGATCAAGATGCGCTTCCCTCACGCAACCCCTGAACAAGTGTTTACACCCGGTGCTCAGGGAAGGGCAGCCGTGTGCAGACACCCAGGGATTTTATTGATGTTGATGCAGCTGTGTAACCCCTCGCGAGCTCTCACCCTCTGGGGCAGAGCCGTGCCCGACGGACTGCGGCCCCGCGGGGCGGACAGACCGGGACGGCAGGACGGAGGGCCATAAAGCTCTCCATCCTGCCTCAGCGGCTGCGGGCGACGGCCCAGAGAGCGCGGGGCCTGCGGGGCCGTCGCGGGTGCAGCACTCTGGAGAGCGCCGGGGCGGGCCGAGACCGCGGCGGTCCCAGCACGGCTCCCATGCCCTGCCCCACTGCCCGGTCCGGCGCCCGCCGAAGTTCGCGCCGGGCGAAGTGCGAGGCGGCGGGGCCACCCCGCTCCCTCCCGCCGTGAGCCCCGCGCTCACCTGAAGTCGCTGTAGGGGTGGATGATCCAGAACCCCGCAGTTTTAACCCTTTCCTGCTCCTTCTCGACAGCCTTCTGGCTCCCGAACATGCGGAGGGAGAATTTGTTGACCCCCGGCTGCAGCATGGAGGTGAACTGCCGCTGCATGAAGCCGTACTGCCGCCGGGGTCCCTCGGCATCCTCGAAGCCCACCACGGGCTCCTCGCCCCCGCCGCCGTCCACTTTGAAGCACACCGAGTTGCCATGTTCCTTCACGCCGCCGCTGCCGGGGCTGCTCTGGGCTTTCTCCGCCGGAGCCGCCGGCTTGGCTGGGAAGGAGTTAGCGCTGCCATCGTCCCGGCTGCCGGCGGAGGAGCTGCGCTTCCCACCCTCCATGCTGCGGGGCGGGCGCGCCCCAGCCGCGGGAGAGCGCGGGGAAGCCTCGCCGCCGCCGGTGCCCTTCAGCGGCGCGGCTGGGCTCGGCCGCCCTGGGCTGGGCTGGGGTGGATTGGGCAGGGCTGGGCAGGGCTGGGCTGGGCTGGGGCGGGCTGGGTTGGGCTGGGCTGGGCTGAGCTCGCACCGCCCGGCAGCAGCAGCGCCGCCGGCCCGAGCCGCGCTCCGCGCAGGGCGGGCACCGCCGCCCCGTGCCCGCCTCTGCCACGGCCGCGCCGCCCGCCCGCCTGACATTGAGAGCCCCCGAGTCCTTGAGGGGCCGCGGCGACCGCGGCGGGGAGGGAGAGAGGGCAGGGGAGGAGCCGGCAGCCTGTGGGGAGGGGAGAGGAGGAGGGGGGAATCTCTACCGGCCCTGACTGCACCTTGCACAGAAAAGCGGGAGCGCGCGTGGTTGGATGTTTCACCTTAGGCGAAGCAAGGGGCGAGGCGTGGGGTGGGAGCCTGCACAGCCCCAGCGGGAAACAGCGGCTGGAAGTGATGCGGTGGGGAGGTTCCACGGGCTCTCCTGTCCCTTGGTAAGCCTCTGTTGCTCCTAAGGGAGCAGGCAAACTGGGAGAGGACAAGAGGCAAGGGTCTTCCTGGCCCCGGGGTCGAGTGGCGGCACTGGAGGTTACAGGGGCTTTTTTGGTTTCATCTGCTAACAGTGCTGCGTGTGCCCAACGCAAAGGAGCATCGCTAGAATGTAAGTGAGGAGGGAAGGCCAGATGTTGAGTGGCATTCGTTTTCACAAACAAAACACATCACTCAAGCGGCTTTTCCTTGTCCCCGAGTTTTAACGCTGACTGAAAACACGGGGCCGAACGCATGAGCGCAGGGACACGCAACATATGAGATGCTGCGAGCACGGCTGGAGCACGCAGGGATGCAATTCCCACCGGGAGGGCTGTGCTGCCACACCTGCCTGCCTTCCTGAAAGAAGTGAAATGGCAGGTGTACCCGACTGCTAAGACAACCTTTTCACGTATGCCAAGAGGTGATTTGCACTTGCTCTTTGTGTCAACAAGAAACTGGAATCCACTTTCAGTTCACCCCATCTGATATTTAAGTATGTAAGTTACAGTTTAGAAGCCTCTAGGAGACAGAGGGAAGCTGTTGGTCAGAAAGGAAACAGGAGGTACTTGTACCTCCCAATACTCTGCATACACTCTAAGGAAATAGAATATGCATTGTCTTTGGTATCACTACACATATTGTCCTAACAACTGGGGACTGTATTCGGGGAGTGTGGGGTGAGGTAGGAGCTGAAAGAGCATTTCTGCCAGTGGTAAGCAGCTGTTTACAAACCATGACTAAGGAGGAGGGCCTTTGTCTCTGCTCTGAAGAATGAAAAATGCTGATATTTACCCCTAAATGTATGATTTTTTTGGGGTTACGGAATGATGGAGAATCAGTATCTTAAGATGTTGTCACAGAAGCTATAGATAGCATTGTGTGTACCTGCAAAAGCATAAAGACATATATTAGAGCATATATATGTAGGTCCTGTGCTTTTATTTGAAATATATTAGACATACATTTGTTTTTCCCACATTCTCAACACACTTTTCATTTTGCACATTAAAAGTATAATAGGAAAGAATTAGTAAAGTCTCACAAACTTAACTCTGGTATTTTCAATGGTATTTTTCAGTTCATTTTATATACTTTGTCCTTTACACAACAGATGCTTAAACCTAAGAGAGAAACAGATGTGCAAATCTGCACACCACGATGCAGATCAGGTGCACTGGGGAGCTGTATTTCAAAATGGGATCTGAGGACTTTCCTTCACAATTCCAGCTTTAACAGTGTCTATGCCTAGTGCACTCAAACACACAAGGTTCTGATGATGTCTTTAGAGTGGAAGATGTTAACATCATATGAGAGTGGAAGAAGATGGCAAGTATAGATGCAGCGGCGTGGATTACTGGAGGCTGGGCAGTGACCAGCATAAGAAGGAATATCTCGCAGCGTGATTGGTTGAGGGCTGACATACATAAGCCTTCCCCATCTGGATTGATAGTTTTCTGTAGGATTTTATCCTAAAACAGTGAAGAGTGTGTGCACAGCTGCTAATGGCTCATGCACAGCTGCTGACAGACAAAAACCTCTTAGTGTTTTATCCCCAGATGATGTCCGCCTCCTTCCCTCATCCAATGTCTGTCACCAAATGATAATTAAAAAGTAAGAAATTATTACTCTTTTGCAGCTTTCTGAAAGAATTAACTCACGTGATATTTGACAGAAGCCTGCGAAGGCAAGGGATGAAAAGGCTAATGCATACAGTGCTTTTCCACGTACTCACACAGTTTACCACATCAGCAACAATGGAACTCACACTTTCCACATGTCGTATAAACATTGCAATCTTAGAATTTTTCCCACCTCTTCACATCTTGTTTCAGAGGACTTTTGCATGGAGTCCTTGACCTGAATGGTCACTAGGAGAGCAACAACTATTCATGTGCAGGGGGAAAATAGAGCTGTAATGAAGTAAATCAGAGCAGCGAAATGGAGACATTTACAGCTGCCGTAAACAGATTCTGATGTACATTTCTTTAACTGGAGGAGTGGTAAAGATTGAATTAATGGTGATGGTCCTTCATTTAGGAATGAAGAAAATTTGACATAGCAATAACATCTGATTTATTCTTTTATGCAACTTGCTTTCGCTTGTATTTAATGTCTCATTTGTCAGAGTTTATCCTGCATGGACTGTAGACCTACCAGAATGACCAACCGTGCCTGGCTTCCCCTGTTTTTTCCTGTTCCAGCTGGTAAATGAGCCTACCATGGGTGGGGCCCCGCTAGACCTGCTGTTCACAAACAGAGAGGGGCTGGTGGGAGATGTGGTGGTCGAAGGCTGTCTGGGGCACAGCGACCATGAAATAATAGAGTTTTCAATACTCAGGGATGCAAAGAGGGCCATCAACAGAACTACCCTGGACTTCCAGAGGGCAGGTTTTAGCCTAATCAGAAGACTGGTTCAGAGCGTGTCCTGGGAAACAGCCCTTGAAAACAAAGGGGCCCAGGAGGGATGGACATGCTTCAAGGAGGAAGTCTTGAATGCACAGAATCTGGCTGTCCCAGTGTGCTGAAAGGCTAGCTGGCTGGGAAGACAGCCAGCCTGGCTGAACAGGGAGATTTTGAAGGAAATTAGGGGAAAAAAGAGAGCTTATTGATATGGAAAAAAGGGCTGGCTACTCATGAAGAGTTTAGGAATATAGTTAGGTCATATAGAAACGAAATTATAGAGACACAAAGGCACAATTTGAACTCAATCTAGCCACTTCTGTTAGGGATAACAAGAGGTGCTTCTACAAATACATCAATAGCAAAAGGAGGGGTGAGGAAAACCTCCATTCTTTATTGGACTTGGTGGGGGAACATAGCCACCAAAGATGAGGAAAAGGCTGAGGTATTTAACATCTTCTTTGCCTCAGTTTTCAACAGTAAGACAGGTTGTCCTCAGGACAACTGGCTTCTGGAACTGAGAGACAGAGACAGGAAGCCAAATAGCCCCTCTGTCTTCCAGGAGGGAACGGTTAGTGACCTGCTGAGCCACTTGGATTCTCACAAGTCTATGGAACCAGATGGGATCCACCCCAAGGTGATGAGGTTGCTGGTGGAAGAGCTTGCCAAGCCACTCTCCATCATTTACCAATAGTCCTGGCTCACTGGGGAGGTCCCAGATGATTGGAAGTTGCCAAATGTCACACAGATCCACAAAAAGGGCTGCAAGGAGGACCTGGGAAACTACAGGCCTGTCCGCTTGACCTCAGTGCCTGGCAAGGTTGTGGAGCAGATCATCCTGTGTGCAATCACACAGCAGCTACAGGATGGACAAGGGATCAGACCCAGCCAGCATGGGTTTAGGAAGGGCAGGTCCTGTCTGACCAACCTGATCTCCTTTTATGATCAGGTGACGCACCTGGTGGATGAGGGGAAGGCTGTGGATGTGTCTGTCTGGACTTCAGCAAAGCCTTTGACACTGTCTCCCATAGCATACTCCTGGAAAAGCTGCAGCCCCCAGCTTGGACAGGGACACTCTGTGCTGGGTCAGGAACTGACTGGAGGGCCGGGCCCAGAGAGTGCTGGTGAATGGGGCTGCATCCAGCTGGCAGCCGGTCACCAGTGGTGTCCCCCAGGGATCAGGGTTGGGCCCAGTTCTATTTAATCTATTGATGATTTAGATGAGGGGATTGAGTCCACCATTAGTAAATTTGCAGATGACACTAAGCTGGGGGGCAGTGTTGATCAGCTGGAAGGCAGGAGGGCTCTGCAGAGGGACCTGGACAGATTGGAGAGTTGGGCTGATTCCAACAGGATGAAGTTCAACAAGGCCAAGTGCCGGGTCCTGCACTTTGGCAACAACCCCTGCAGCGCTACAGGCTGGGCACAGAGTGGCTGGAGAGCAGCCAGGCAGAAAGTGACCTGGGAGTTTGGATTGACAGGAAGCTGAACATGAGCCAGCAGTGTGCCCAGGTGGCCAAGAAGGCCAATGGCATCCTGGCCTGGATCAGGAACAGTGTGGCCAGCAGGAGCAGGGAAGTGATCCCTCCCCTGTACTCAGCACTGATGAGGCCACCCCTGGAGTGCTGTGTCCAGTTCTGGGCCCCTCCGTTCAGAAAGGATATTGAGGGGCTGGAGCAGGTCCAGAGAAGAGCAACCAGGCTGGTGAAGGGACTTGAGCACAAGCCATGTGAGGAGAGGCTGAGGGAGCTTGGGTTGTTTAGGCTGGAGAAGAGAAGGCTCAGGGGAGACCTCATCACTCTCTACAACTCCCTGAGAGAAGGTTGTAGCCAGGTGGGTGTTAGTCTCTTCTCCCAGACAATCAGCAGTAAGACAAGAGGGCATGGTCTTAAGCTCTGCCAGGGGAGGTTTAGGTTGGATATTCGGAAGAAATTTTTTACTGAGACAGTAATCAGATGTTGGAGTGGGCTACCCAGAGAAGTGGTGGATTCTCTGTCCCTGGAGGTTTTTAAGATGAGACTGAATGTGGCACTGAGTGCCATGGTCTAGTAACCACAGTGGTAGTGATCAAGGGCTGGACTTGATGACCTTCGAGGTC